TATGAGCACATGATCATACGAACACATGATCGTATGAGCACATGATCATACGAACACATGATCGAATGAACACATGATCGTATGAACACATGATCGTATGAGCACATGATCGTATGAGCACATGATCGTATGAGCACATGATCGTATGTGCACATGATCGTACGAGCACATGATCATATGAACACATGATCATACGAACACATGATCGTATGAACACATGATCGTATGAACACATGATCATATGAACACATGATCATACGAACACATGATCGTATGAACACATGATCGTATGAACACATGATCGTATGAGCACATGATCGTATGAGCACATGATCGTATGAACACGTGATCGTATGAACACGTGATCGTATGAACACATGATCGTATGAACACATGATCGTATGAACACATGATCGTATGACCACATGATCAGATAAACATATGAACACATAAACATGTGACATTTTATCTACAGCAGGTAAGATGTTGAAAACAGAGCTGTCTCTTTAAAGTGTGAGCGCTCAGCCTGAACTGGGCCCCTCGCCTGMTGTCAGCCAGGATGGAACAGATTCTGGTCCAATGAGGACTTTAATCCCCACACAGACGGGTCCATTTAGAGCCGGACACAAAGCTGCTGAGACAGTAGACCCAGAACCGCAGACCGGGCTGACTTACGTCTCTCAGCTCATAAACCTGCTGGAAGCTGGACTCCATGAAGGGCTGGAAGGCAGAGCTGTTGGAACAGAGCAACATGAAGGTTCAGACCTCAATGATTAATCACAGGAACTTCTCTGCTCTCATTTCACTAGAAAGAAATAAAAAGAGTCAGTTTTAAAAGCGTCACCCTGTGCTGAAGGCGATCTCTCCCAGAGCGTCGCAGGCGTCCTCCTTCTCGTCCATGTAGGCGTTTTCCACACTGAACCTGAAACATGGACCCAGTGTGAGGGACAACGCTCTCGTTCTGAGGAAAACATGCAGCTGTKAGATCATCTACCCTGCAACATCCTGGACATCTTCCTCTGGCTCGTCTTCCAAGAAATGTTCGTCAGCTTTTCCATCTTCCTCCTCCTCGTCTTCATCGTCGAGGAGGACAAACGTCTTGTCCTCTTCCAGGTGAGCCTGGAACAAAAAACCTGAATCTGTCAGGTAAAGTTCTGACTCGTTGGACGTTTGGCAGGACGGCCRTTTCTAACCGTGATGCCTTCGTTGGACTTGAGGGCGAGCAGCATGATGGTGGTTACGGCGGGGAGGTGAGGCGTGAGACACTCGGGGACGACTGTGGACACGGCTGAATACAGGCTGTATCTGAGGACGGAGGGACAAGAAGGCGAGGATTAAAAAAATAAACTGCAGCCAGTTTGTTCTGTGTGAAACAGACGAGACAAGCTACACACGTGCAGCGCCGCAGGTCCGGGTCGTCGATGGTGTCGGTGAGGTTCAGACCCAGACGGATGCATTCTGCAGCCAGAGGACTGAAGACGTCCTGTCCAACGTTACGAGCCAAAACTGACAGAGTGTCTGAGAGTCACAGCAGAAACAACGTGTGTTCGTTAACGTCTGAGTCCAGAATGAAACTAACAAATCCAGGAGGAGAGGCTGGGTTCACCCACCCAGAGACTGAGTCTGCAGAGGCCTCATCTCCTCCGTGGTGGCCGTCAGGAAACCTTTCAGGCTCTCAATGATCGGAGTGAAGTACGGAACCAGCAGCTCTTTGGCAGCGTTGGCTGTGAGACAAAGACTCTGCAGTTCAACATCAGGGCTAAAAACAGGTTTTAGATCAACAAAAGCAAGAACTCTGATATTAAACAGAGGTTGACACACAAGCATTGTTCAGGTTGTYCGACACAACAGATTTTCGTTTCGGACAAACAGATCCCGCCTCCCGGTTGTCCGGTGGACAACCAAGAAAAAAGACCGACATGAAAGATTCCTGCTGCTGCTGTAAAAACAGAAAGGGAGAAAAAACATATTAAAGCTGTCTAGGGTTTAAACTGATGGTTCTTTCACCCAATAGAGAGAAACACAAAGTTTTACCCAATTGGAACAGAGCGAGGCGGGTCATGATGTGACTGAAAGTTCTCGATCCTGGACTATTTTCTACCTAGGATTATGTATTTTATATATATATATGGGTAACCTGTAGGTGTAGAAAAGTTTTAGTAGCAACATTTTTGCTCTCTATTTCAAAGAGGATGAGGAGGAGAATGAGGAAGTTTTACTGAAGCAGCTCCTGAAACAGTCAAACTGCTGAGAACATTTGTATATAATAAACTTTGTATACAGAACAATTTACTTATTAAATTACATTTTTCTTTAGATTATTTTGGATAAACACATTTTGTTGACAGGCTGTCTAAATCCTTATGTCTACCCCTGTTAAAGTAGAGGGGAATAAAAACTCCTCACCTATGGCTCCGATGGCAGACACAGCTAGTTCTTTAACTCTCAGKTTTTCTGCGTTGTGGAGAGCAGACAGCATGATCTCCATCAGGGTGGGCAGGTAAGGCTCGATATCAGCTCCTGTTTAAACAAAAACAGCTCTAAGCTTCAGAGAAAAGGATTCCAGTCATCACTGRTGAACGTCTCGTACCCAGGTTCTCCATGAAGTTTTCTAAAGCGTAAAAAGCTTTAGTCAGGTGTCCGACTTTGGCCTCGTTCAGAGAGGACAGGTACCCCAGCAGCAGAGGCATCAGCTCTCCACAGTACTGATTGATTTCAGGCTGCCATCAACAAACAAAACATTTGATCCAGGTGGTGTTTTCATTTGAAAATAAAGCTCCTCTCAGGGTTTAAAGGTGACGCCACTCACCTGCAGATGTTCGGTGAACTGTCCGAGGGCGAAGAGGGCGGCGCTGCGGACCACCTGGTCTTTGTGGGACAGACTCTGACAGACGGTCTGCAGCACCGAGGACAGCATGCTGCCAGAGACACAGACAGGAAGTGTGAGCGCCTTTTCATCTGCCACGCTCAGAAAACACGAAGGAACTCGTTTACTTTGTGCGGATGTGGTCTGCACATCCTTCAGCCAGCACGGCCAGGCACAGGAGACCACCCTTCTTCTGATACGGGTCCTCGCTGCTCAGGCAGGTCTTGGTCAGGGGGACCTGAGACCAAACAAACGTCTGATAGAACCAGGAGTGACCGCTCTGACRGGATGTTCCAACAGTTTGAACTCACCAGGTGATGGAAGAGCTTCTCTGGAGGCAGGTGAAGAGCCATCGTGTCGATCATCTGAGAACACACAAACACAAGCAGGAGTTTAGAGCTCGGAGCTGCAGAGGGAACCCGTCAGGAGGCGGACTCCTCTGAACCTGAGCGGCGCAGTGTTTGGGACTGTCGTTGTCCAACTCGTCCCCGTCGCTGTCCTCCTCRTCCTCGGGGTCCTGCTCGCCGGCTGGGGGCGCTGCCGTCAGGATGGGGATGATGGCGGTCAGGATGGGGTTCAACAGCTTCAGCTTCAGCACCGCCTGCAGAACAGAGGCATTATGGGAAATGATCTGAACATTAGCAACTCATGAACATCCAATCAAATGTTGTTTAGAGGGAAAGCTGCTGTAATCTGAAGGGATTACGAGTGTTTGTTAAACTGAAAATTCAAACAAATTTGAAGGACAGATGCACTTCAGTAAAAGGTAAAAGACTACGGAATAATCTGGAAAATGATTATAAAACCATTGGATCAATTTATTCCTTTTAATCAAAGAAAAYTGTTGAAGAAATATGAAGTTGTTATTCTGCTGCCTTTCATTTTATTTGATTTGTGTTATTTTGTTGTATGTAATGTGTTTTGTTTTGTTTTGAAAAATGAAATGAATAAATACTATAACAATAACATTTTCCACTTGGATATTTCTTTCTGTCCAGAATCACATTTTCAAAAAGATGCTTTTTACGAGCTCTACCTACTTTACTCTTCAGCCTGATGAGGAAGGTGATGCAGGACAGGGCTTTGACTCGCAGGGAGTCGCTCAGTGACGTGTCCCTGCTCACCTGACAGAAACATGACACACTCTCTGAGCAAACAYTCACAACTAAAATAAAATAAAATAAAACTCGACAGGATTCAGCTTTTACCTCCAGGCAGAACGGAACGATGTCTTTGATGTGAGGGGCGATGATGGACACTTCGATCTCCATCAGCTCAATAAAGACTTCCATGGCTTCYGAGGCCTGGTTCTGTCAGGGACACAAACAGAGCTGAGGATCCACACAGACCTGATCGCTGCAGAAACCTTTAAACTCAGAGCCATAGACTTAAATAAGATCACTAGACTGAGCCCCACCCATACCGTCCACTGTTACAGCATGGAGGAGCAGAAACAGACCAAACAGGGCAACAGCTCACAGCCTCCATAGAAA